TGTTACTCCCGACCTTCACTCACCACCTGAGCCTAGCCAGCCACCAGCATGGATTCCATAAAATGCACAGTACCACCATGGCCTCAACCAGAAACCACCCTGTGAGAGAACGATCCTCGTAGCGTTGGACCTGTCAAAAGCTTTTGACTCGGTCAATCACACAACGCTACTGCAGGATATTGAGAAAACCACGCTTCCTCCAGGGCTCAAGAGGATGACCATGAACTATCTGAACGGTCGTCAGACATCCGTACTATTTCGCGACGCAACATCTAAACTGAGAAGAATTATACATTGGGTTCCGCAGGGTGGTGTCCTCTCCCCGCTACTGTTTAACTTCTACATCTCGAAACTCCTGCAACCACCAGAGGGGGTTTCCATAACCTCGTACGCTGATGACTGTACGATATTGACGTCGGGCAATGGAATCGATGGCATGCATTCGAAGGTAAACAACTACAACTACCTCTCCGACCTTTCTCGTTTCCTCCAACTTTCCCCTACCAAATCCACAGCGACCATATTCACGAACTGGACGAAGGAGTATAGACTGGAACTTAATATTGCAGTCGACGGCGTCAAAATTCCGACTGTCAATAACCTTAAGATTTTAGGTGTCACCTTCGACAGTCTATGCCCCTTCTCTCCACATACGATCGCAGTCATCTGCTTGGAGCGGAACCGCCTCCTAGGAGCATCAAGAGGTCATTCCTTGATCACGTCGATGACATCGAACAATACGCCGACAGGACCTCGAACGCAACAAACTTCCGACAGGCACTGACCGCCATCCACAGTGGAGCCATCAACACCTTCAAAGACTCCCTCCCCGTGTCCTTAGATTCAAATCACCACCCATAGCAGACGAAGAGCTCGAGTTGCCGCGAGAAACGCGAGTGACCCTTGCGCAACTTCGTTCTGGATATTGTAGCAGGTTAAACTCCTACYTATCCAGAATAGACCCTGACATACCCAACGTATGTTCCGCATGCAACGAGTCTCCACATGACACTGACCACCTCTTTGCATACCTAACCAACCCCACCCATCCAACATCCTTTTCCCTTTGGTCCGACCCTGTCGAAACAGCACGTTTCCTGGGCCTCTCGTTAGATGACATCGACGACAACACTGATAACCCTCACCATCTCAACGGGAACTAATAACCGTTAAAACAACAACAACAACTATGAGTGTAACTAAGAAATGTAATTTCGACTGAAATATTTGTTTTATATTAAGTAAAAAAATACCATGGAAAAAAATTTTGCAATGCAAAGCATTTTTATAAAAACTTATTTATGTACATATGTATGTATAAATAAGTGAGCATGTAATGTTTGTTTATTATGTGATGTTATTTGTTTCTGTTTTTCTTTTGTTTTGCTAATTAGTAAGTACATTTTTTCCATAAAGAAATAATATTCTGTTAATAAATTGGCATCGGTTCTTTGCCAACTGACCGAATAATCGGCTGGACACTACACAATATACATACATACATAAAGGTTAATCCATTACGGGGTACCCTAATTTTTAATGAAATACACAGAAAATTCAAATTTAATGGGGAATGTTTTTTATACATAAGTCTCAGATGGTCTATCCGTTGATCGTCGAGTATTTCGAATGCTAATGGGCGAATGATGTTTTGCTTCAAGGGGCACTATTGCGATTACTTTGGCGGTCAGGTAAAAAACGCAACTTTCGGTATAAATAGGATATGTGCTGAAAGAGCTTCTCCAGTTTAGGAATAAAATAATTTTGCTAACACCGTTTTGTTTGCATTTTCACGTAATTATTTTTTCTTATTTAACTATTAAAAAAATTATTTTATCTGGGGTGACGGAAGTACTTTCGCTTAGTACTTCTTTCTGCGTTGGCGGCTTTCGGAAGCGCTCTAAAACATTTTTCCTAGTCGAGCCAATACCCGGGGTGACTGAACAACTTTCGCATAGTACTCCTTTCTGCATTGGCGGCTTTCGGACGAGCTCTAAAAAAATAACCCTGGTCGAGCCAATACTCGGGATGACTCAAGTACTTTCGCGTAATACTTTTTTCTGCGCTGGCGGCCTTCAGACGCGCTCTAAAAAAATAACTCTGATCGAGCCAATATCGGAGTGACTAAAGTACTTTTGCGTAGTACTCCTTAAAAAAATAACCCTGATCTTTTACTATTTGAAATATAATTTATAGACACACTTGTCTTTATTAGAACTAAGAATGTTAATTAAAGAGAAATTTTGCCTCATAATTGTTAGCACCATAATGATAATCACTACGAGTATAAAAAGTGATTTTTAAAATAAAGATTTCTTACACATAAAACCTACAAAAAGTGCAAATTGTGAATTTGTTTAAATGTTTAAATGTTTACGGTTTAGTTAAATGAGTTTGAAGTGAAACATGTGTATAAAGAATGAATGTGTGTGAATATCTCGTAAACTAAGCGTTTGTGGTACCTTATAGTTTTTTAATTAGGAGGTCTTCCTCTTTCCTTCAGATCACGGCACCAGAGAAATCGGAATTGTGCTCTCCAAGGCCTGAAGGGAGCAGGCTTTTCTTTAACCCCCCACAGGGAAAAGTCTAACGGTGTGATATGATACGATCTCGGTGACCACTCGACCGGCCCAAAACGTGAAAGTACCTGCTCATCGAAGTGTTCTGTAATGTTTGATTATTATTGATGAGATATGCAAAACATGGCATCGTCTTGTTGAAACCAAATGTCGCAGAGAACGAGCTTCAATTTCAGGCATCAAATAGTCGATTGCCATGGCACGATAACGGTCGCTATGGACGGTTACGTTCTCACCGGCATCATTTTTGAAGAAATAAAGACTGATGATTCACACCAAACCGTTGTTTTTTTCGTTGATGAAAATACACTTCATGAATCTTTTCAGATTGCTCTTCATCCCAAATGCAGCAATTTCGCTTGTCTACATACCCATTGAATCAGGAATGGGCCACATCGCTGAACAAAATTTGGCTGGAAAGCATCGGATGTTCGTGGAACTTTTCAAGGACCCATAGAATGAAGCGATGTCGCTTGGGAAGGTCAAGCGGTTTCAGTTCTTATACAATGATGTAATATGCGCCAAGTCGTTCCGTACGTCAGTCCGAGTTGTTGCCGGTCTTCGTATACACTAAGGCTGCTATGTTTTCTTCACTGTGTGCTGAATGTGGTTTTAGTTTCCTGTCAATGTCATTTAATTAACTAATTTCAGTTCGTTCCTCTCTGCTTTTTTCGCTCTCAGAATTTTTTAGACACTGCTGCATAAATTCAAGCAATTGTTCAATGATGCATACGTATACAAACATTTAATGGCTATTTTGAAAATATTTCAAAACAAATCGAAAGACATTGTCTAAAAAAATTAACATTGTCAATAAACCCCAAATATGAACCAAACATCAAGTGTTACCTCTGTTTTTACGACAGTTTGGACTTCGTACCGAAACGCACTCAGATTTTTATCCCCAAAATTATTTAAACAGAACTCCAAAATAAGGACACTAATGATGATACCCGTCATCCTTCAGCAGAAAGATGGTTATTGCAAATGGGATTCGATAAAGTAAGGTTTTGACCACTATGTTCAGTAGCCATCTCTCCTATTTCTGTTGAGAAATTGCTGTTATTTAAACAGATAAGAAGCAATTTGCAAACTCGACTAATTTGCGAAGCCGTTCTAGAGACTATCCGTTCTAGGTTAACGAATTTATTTGACCAAAAATTATCTACTCGTCAGCATTCCCCAAAAATATTTCGGGCTGATGGGACCTCTATAGATTGATTATTACATAAGTTAAGGCCATTCTACACCAGTATAACAAAAAAACTTTGTTTGGCATGACGTATTACAACTAGTTTTTGTTGAAACTTCTTTGACTACTTAAAAAGGGAAAACTTAACTGATAATTAAAGAGTCAATAAATATAAATTTAAAACAATAAGTTTCTATTTGTTATATAATAGTTTACAATTATTTAAAATAATATTTGCGCGTCTTCCATTTTTTTATTAAACTTTTTTTGAAATCAATCCATTTAAGTTAATTTTTTCTCGAACTGACATATGTATATTCAATTTCTTTTAACGATTGCAAACATTTCCCATAATCCCTTTGTGTTTTTTAATTTCTTGTAACAGTCTTTTCTAAGTAACGGAAGAAACGGCTTGCGGTCAGTGTTCAATTACGATCATAATCGAGTTAAGATCCATAAAACCTGTCCTAGGTGTAAACAAAGAACGAATAATCAAAGTATACGACTTCCAGTTTTTAAAGTAGCTCGGTCTTATACACAGGAACCACCACAACCAATTTAAGATATTTTGAAGGGCAATTATGTACATTATTTCGCTGAAATAACAAACTTCTGTGCTGACATATAAGGTTGAACGGCAGGTACATAAATGATTTAATTGGTAGTATCTTCCATTGGCAGGGAGTAATTTATGAATTATACATTTTATTACATAGTCGCAAAATTTACCATTTACGTATAGCATAAATAAAAATTCAGAAAACTCCGGCGAAATTAATCAGCATTATTTAAAGTCAAAGGACCAGTCATTCAGTGGCTTATTACAAATGCGGCCAGCTAAAAAATTCAATTACATTAGCCATTACGACCCAGAGTAATATCTCTTGACTTTTGTAAAGGGGGCAATATGGTTCGAGTCAGATTGTTTTAACGTTACATTGGTACAGGAATTTGTTTGGTCAATAGTGAGTTGAGTTTGTATCCTGTTATCCGAATTACGGAAAATCTATATACATAATTTTAAGTTTTGACATAACACAATAACTTAAGTCACAGTTGTCATTATGGATTTGCGATTTTTCATGTTAGGAAAAACAATTGAAACCAGAACTGATGGTAACCGATTAGCTGGAACAATATAAAATCAAAATTCACATCTATCACATAAAGCATCGACTACGACAACCACTAATATAATCTAGAAGCATTGAATTAAGAAAGCTATTGAATGACATTCCGAGTATAAAATTATAATTACATATCTGCCGGTATATTAGTTATAAAACCTGTCTCTTATTATACATTTATAAATTAAATATTAAAAATAGTTTCATCCTTAATCAGCTTCAGGGAAATTACTTCATCTGTCTTTCATCCTCACTCTCTGATGATGAGTTTCCATCTCCTATTTCCAGTATATTTTTGAAATCTTTAACTTTAATTTTGGCTGGAACAATTTGCAACAAAAATTCTAAATTCTTCTCTTTTTGCACATATTGCGATAAATGTTTATATTTCAGTGTGTTATCATCCTTCATTCTACCATAAGCTTCCTCTGTTAGTTTTTGAATGAACATTTCCTATATACCAAAGATGATTAAACACTAATAACATAAAAGTATATGCGGTAACTTACTGTAGATTTGGTCATAAGAAAAAGTACTTCATTTGTTATTTGCCCAGTATTCAATGAACTCTTCATAATTGTCCTTATGCGGCTTAATGGGAGCTCGGTATCCATGTTTATTACTTTCCATACAACCTTTACCTTTACCGCCAATAATATATTCACTAATAATAATTGTTTGACACTACATTTGTCAACGAACTGACGTAGCTGGACTCTGCAAATTATTTCTTAAAATATTAAAGCCTGCAGGCCACCTATCGGTTTAATAGCGGGTTAAGTTCTCAACAACGCAAACAAAAATGTATGTTTGGTAAATGTTCAGAAGAGCGGCTTTTCCGAAAACGTGCACCAATTTTGATTCCAATTTACGAATATATATGGCGCGTATCTATTTTTATGTTTTTTTGCAATAAAAAATATTACGATTTTGCACGATATTTACGCCATAAATGGCATCACTGTTCGAAATTCAATTGGGCACTAGTGATACAAGCAGTAATCGGTTTCGAAATATCGATACTCTCGATATTCGAGAATGAACGAAAATTGAAAAAAATGAGAGATACATAATAGAAAAATAATAATTGGAAATATGCTGCGATAGTAAATCTACTTTGGACGCCCTTATGTGTGGAACACAATGCTAGCGACAGACTGCAGCAGCACGACAGTGAACTGAAAATGGCGTTGTGRCTCCTACTACAAGAACGTTTGTGAGGGGGCAGCAACATAGCAATGGCCGGCGTGTACACAAAACAACGCAGTTGTCCATTCTGCATGGACACAATTTCGTTGTGGAAATACTAATACCTTGCACTTCAATGAAATTTTAATATTTTGTTTAAAGTGAAATTTTTAAACAAAATATAAGTAAATATGTAAATTTATTTATTTTAAATTATCAATTGTTATTATAAATGATGTAACAGAGCTATTTTATGCGTTTATTTGTAAAATAACATCAGTTTTGTTAGAACTTTGAGTAATTTTACATTTTACATATTAGCGGCATCACCACTCTACCTCATCCATTCATATGCGCGGAACACAATGCTAGCGACAGACTGCAAACGACATCTGTCAAATATTAAAATACACACGTTCTTATGGACGGACCTATTTTGACAGCTGCACGACTACACGAC